TTCCACCTTGATGTTCTGGCATGATCTTAAACTCAACATGTATAAAATAGAGTTTAAATAAAATCTTTCTCCAGATCATTTAGTTCATGCTATCACCATAACCTCCATCACTCAGACTCAAAATATCAATCATCCTAACTCCTTCCCCCTTTCCCATCACATCCAATTGAACATCAGTAAAAATTTTATATGACATTTCAATAGCTTACGAAGTGTTATAAACAAAACAAAAGCGTACGTTGTATCAAACCCCCCTCAGCCCCAGGTGGGAAAAATGATATTAAGGCAAGTTAGGAGATACACCCAGGTCATTAGCTAGAGAGTGGTTAGTCTAGATGAAAAACCAGTTAAGTCCTGAACTTGGGACTCCTCACTCCAACTGCTATGCTCTTTCACCATCTCATACTGCCTCAAGTTTTGCAGCATTTCTTTGCATCTGTCTCTCCTCTCCCTCACCACTGCCAACCCCAGAATTCAAGCCTGCCTTATCTTTCACATCCGTAACGCTTGGCTCAGTAAGGTAATAGTTGGTAGTCTGTATCCAGCATGGGATATTTTTTCTCACTTGTTAACTTCAGCAAAAATTTTAAAACCATGAAATACATAATACATATACTGAAAAGTCATCCACCTCAAAACTGACAGCTCAATGAATCACAAAGTGAACATCTATGCAACCCCCACTCACGTCAAGAAACAGAACGCTGCTAGCACCCCAGAAGCACCCCTACATACCCTCCCAAGCATTACTCCCCCACCCAAAGCTAATCATTTCCTTTCTTTTCTTCATAGATTTTACTACCTAAACCTGTATCCCTAAATCTAGTTTGGTTTCATGTGTTTTCTTGAACTGTGAATTTTCCAAAATGGCTATACCAATATACATTCCCACCAACAGTGTACAGTTTCATTTGTTCCAATACTTGACATTTTGTTTTCCATTTTAGCCATTATTGTGGGTGTGCCACAGTATCTCATTGTGATGTCAATTTGCATTTCCCTAATGATTACAGAAGTCGAGCACCTTTACATGTTTATTGGCCATTTAGATATCCTCTTTTGTGAAGTGACTTTAAATCTTACCAATTTTTCTGTTGGGTTGTCTCTATTTTTTACTGATTTGTGGGAGTCTATAAATTCTGAATGGCAGCAAAACAGACATATTTCTATTGTAGAAATGAATGCATTTGTTGGATGCTATTAGAATACCACTAACTCCTCTTACTCTGCAGAACCCCAAATTCACTAATGACCCTCTGGGAGGTAATGCAGTCAACTTTGTGCATTCTCTCTAAACCAATGTAGAGTTATTGTGCCATGGAATCTGCTAGATACTTGGAATATAATGTCAAAAAAAGTGATTAGGGACAACAGCTTTGAAAAGAGACCTGTATTGGAATCCTGTCTCTAACATTTACCAGCTTGGTGACTTTACGCAAGTTATTTAAACTGTTTTAGCCTCAGTATCCTCTTTGGAAAAATGAGGCTAATAATACCTATTTTAAGAGTTGTTATGAGGGTTAAATGAGACAATAATATGTAACAGGTTTTGCATAGTGGCTGGCAAACAGGAACATTTAATAAGTGGTAGCCATTATAAATTTGGTTATTTCCATGTAGCCTGCCATTTCGGTATAGTGGGAGAAACTGAGTAGATGTCCATTCCCCTCTTAGCCATTATAGTTCTCACTATAAAGTTAAAAAAAAAAAAGGCACTGGGTTTAGATTAGTCTTCTGGGAACTTGGTCCTTCTGACTCCTTTCATCAGAGTGTCTCTAGAGCAGTGCTTCAAAAATAATCTGTGGTGGGCTTCCCTGGTGGCGCAGTGGTTGAGAGTCAGCCTGCCGATGCAGGGGACACGGCTTCGTGCCCCGGTCCGGGAAGATCCCACATGCCGCGGAGCGGCTGGGCCCGTGAGCCATGGCCGCTGAGCCTGCGCTCCGCCACGGGAGAGGCCATAACAGTGAGAGGCCCGCGTACCGCAAAAACAAAAACAAAAGCAAAAATAATCTGTGGTGAAAGATCATAGACACTTCTGTAAAATATAAAAATAAATTAACTAGAGAAGGGAAATAAAACAAAGGCATATACAAGATACAACAATACAAGCCCCCAATTTTTATTAGAACCATAAACATAAAATTAGTGTAACACTAATTGCTATAAAAGTTTCTAAATTCTTACTCTCGATTTCTGTAAATGCCTTGGACCAATAACAAAGGGTTTAGAGATTGGCGGTGGCCCGTGGCCCATACTTTCAGTAGCACTGCTCTAGCACACTGACAAAAATCAGACTTCTGAATTTGAAGGGCTGAGGTAGGTCCTAGAATGTGGAGACTCTACTGAAGGGTTGCTCTTGGTCCTGAGTCATCAGTTGGTCGCCTACTGGACTTTTTCTAGCCTTAAGCACAACGCTGTGTTACTCCTTAGCTTAAAAACGACCCACTGTTCCCTCTGTCTTAAAGTGTAAGATCCCAATCCTTTAACATGGCATCAAAGGCCTTCCAGGCTGGTTCCACACAACTTTTTTGGTCTGATTTTCCACTATTCTTTATTCTAGTAGACCTGCACTGTCCAATATAGTAGCAACTAGCCACAAGTGGCCATGGAGCAGTTGAAATGTGGCTAATTTAGGAAGTAAAATTTTAATCTTAACTTTAATTTAAAATAAAAAATCTTATACATAATTCAATTACTGCAAAACTTTTGAAATATGTTTGGAATGATTCGAGTATGTGAATCTACTTTTTCAGCTGTAAATTTTATGAAATCAATTATTGTGATATGCTATAAATGTAAAAAGCAACCAGATTTTGAACACTTACTTGGTAATGAGAAAAAGAATGCAAAATATTTAATACTTTTAAACATTGATCACATATGAAATGATACTATTTTGGATATATCGGGTCAAATAAGATTTTTAAAATTTTTTTGTTTTCTTTCACTTTTTTAATGTGGCTACTGTAAAATTACATATGTGGCTTGTGTTATATTTATATTGGACAGTGTTGGCCTAGACAATCATGCCCCAAACCTAGGAATCACTCTTGATTTTTCCCTTTCCCTGTTTGATTCATTAGCAATATAGGTCGGGTCTAATCACAAAATATATCTTCAATGCATCCACTTTATCTCTACTGTTACTATCCATGTTACTCCATACCTTAAAACCCTTCAGTGGCTTCTAGAGCTCTGAAACTTACCAAGGCTGCAGACTTCATCTTCTACCATTCCTTTCTTTGCTCTCTAGACTTTAGCCACATTGCCTTTCTTGCTTTCTCACCAAAGATTTTGCCTTACTATTCCCTTTGGTCTTGAACACTGCCCTCAACTTATTCCCATTCAGGACTTAGCTCAAAGAATACCTTCTCAGAGAGGCCACTTTTTTTTCTGTCTGTGCCACACGGCTTGCCAGATCTCAGTTCCCCAACCAGGGACTGAACCTGGGTCACAGCAGTGAAAGCCCAGAATCCTAACCACTAGGCCACCAGGAAACTCCCAGAGAGGCCATTTCTGAACAATCTTCAAAATTATGCCTGCTCTCTCTTCCCAGAGAAATGCTTCATCCAAATACCCTTTTATTCTCTTCATAAAGGATATTATGTGATATTACCTTTCCTCTTCTTTTATAAAACTTGTTTATGGTCTGTTCCCTCCACGGAAACAGGAGCAGGAACCTTGTTGGTCTTGTTCCTGCTTAATCTGTTCTAATGTGTAGAACAGTGCCAGTGACAGTTGCTCTCGAGACAACTTACATGAAAGAATACCTAAGTGCCTACTAGACATACAATCTCAGTGAAGACATCCTCCTAAATGCTCCCTCAACACACTTGGGAGTCATCTTTGACATCTTTTCAGTCATTCCGTATCCAGTCAACCAAATCACCAAGCTCTCAACATCTTTGGTCATATTCTTCACTCCTGTTTGCCACTATCTCAGTCCAAGTCATTAGTCTCTCATAGACTGCTGTTTTCTCCAAACTGTTTTCTTTGCCTCTGACTTCTGCATGACAGTGATCTGTCTAAAATACAAATCCAATCTGATTATGCTTCTACTTAAAATCTTTCAATGCCATCCTCTTAGCTCTCAAAAGCTAATTTCTGCAAATGGCATTCAAGGCCTTTATGACTAGACCTCTTCAGACACATCTTTAGGCATTCCTGAAAAAGCATTATCTTCTTCGCCCAACAATTTCTCCAGAGTTTTCCTTTTAACCTTTGCATTTGTTGCTTCACCTGTCTGGAAGGTTCTTCCCCGACTCCCTTATTAAAGCTAATTGCTTCTCCAGTCCCATTCCATGCCTCCCTGACAGGTAAGTAACGGATTCCTCCTATATAAAATTTCACAGCATTCAGCAGTTTACCCTCATTATACTACTGATGATGCCTACTTACTTGTCTGCATTCTACAGCATAAGATTAACGAGGGCAAGGATTCTACAACCATTAGCTGAATGTTTACTCAGATAAATTCAATGTTAAAGAGAAGCATGTGACTATCGAAAGAAGCACTGAAAATATTAAATTGAAAGAAAAATAGAATAGGGCTCCTATGCCATTCACTTTGTTTCTATTTTAGGCACAACGCTTTAATAAGTTACATAAAGACTTTACAAATCTCTACATCAATAACACAAAAGGGTAAGTGGAGAAAGACTGTTTATCTGAGGCCACCCAAAATCTGTAGACAACATGTTATTTCATTTGTTTGTAAACTCTTCTAGATTAAAATCTTGGCGCTCTCTCACATATTCCCAATTCCTAAATATAAGAAGCCAAAAATTGTACGGTTAGAAGGTTGGAAAAGTCATTCCCAGGCTCATCTGTTAAAAACATTACCAGTGTGGTGGGTATTTTAGCAAAATCATCACAAGTAATTTAAACTCCTAAGACTCTTTGTAAATCACCATCCACAAATAAACTTTTGCTGCTTTCTTAATAAAATACAACACAACAAAAATCTTGACATTTCAGCCACGGAAAAACAAGACTTCTACCTCTGAGGTGACAGTAATCCAAGGGAATTCGGCGAGCAGTTACGAAAAGTCTACGAAGTATAAGGCATCAAAAGAATGTTTAAGAAAAAAAAAAAAAGGCGGGGGGTGGCTACAGGAATATGTACGTTTTCGTCACGAACTTGACTTGCTCAGTTTAGGTGAAGTGGAGAAATAACATCTGTAGTTCCTCCCCTTGTACCTCAACAGCGACTCTTGTCCCAGTCAGCCTAGTGGAATCTAGGGCGGCTTCAAGTTAAATCCTAGCTTTCTCACTGCCCTTCCGTCTCCCAGGACTCTGCTAGATGTCTCAGCTTAATCTGGAAGGAGTCAGGATTCCCCATCTCTCAGCTTTCATGCCGAAGACATAACGTTAGCACACGCACTTCAGCCTCCCACTCCTAGCCCCGCAGAAAGTGGCGGGAAGGCTAGGTGGCCGGCCTGCAGCCCCGCCGCGCACATGGCCGGCCGCAGCTCCTACCCCCGTGCCGCGCAGGCGCCGGGCGAGCCGGGACTTGCGGTCGCCGACAACGGATCATTCCGCCGCTTTCTTTGTGTGGCTCAAGTTCTAGAGATGGCATATTTTCCTCCCCTTTGTTAAAAAGAAAAACCAGGCCGTCTCGCCCCCTTCCTCCCGCCGGAATGGGATCGGGGAGTGGGTGGGAGAGGGATCTGCTGACCAGGGCAGGGGCGGAAAGGCTCAGAAGAGGGGCTGACGAGGGCCGGGTACGGGAGGGATGCTGGGAGCTTTGACTCACTCGCACACCATGTGTCCCTCCGCGCGCAGCACGGGGGACTTTTCGGTGGGGATTTTGGGCGCCGACCAGACGCGGCATTTTCGGAAAATAGCGCCTTGTGCAGCTGAAGCGCTTTGTGTTTAGCTGGGCCGCGTCAGCCCGGCCGGGTACGAGGCGCCTCGGGTCCCCGAACCACCTCCTGCTGCTCCCCGGTCGCCGCTCCCGAAGCTTTTCCAGGTCAGTGCGGGTCTGTGTAGGGCCCTGTTACCACCGGATGTGGAAGTTGATCTCTTCGCTGGTAAAAAATAATTCCACTTCCCCCGGAACCCAGATCATCCCCGCGATTTCCTGTTTATTGCATTAAGGCGCCGGGTTTCCGGGGCTCTTGGCCCCGCTTATTCCGCGGGGGTCGGCGGGGTCGGCCTGGGCCCCCGCTCCGCCCGCGCCGCCGGCGCGCTTTGTCCGCTCGCACCCCGCTTCTGGGAGGGGCGGGCAGACATGGTGGCGGCCGCCGCCCCCTCCTCGGCCCTGGCGAGCTGCGGCCTCCCCGCGGCTCATAGCCCGGCCGGTCCCGAGCGGCCGCCCCGGGGCGGAATGGGGTCGGGCCGGGGCTTCGGGGGCTCTGCGGGAGGCGGGCGAGGGAGGGAGGGAGACAGGCAGGCAGGGGCGGCACGGCACGGCCTTGGCGCCCGCCGCCCCGGGAGCCGCCGCTCTCTTTGTCTGGGCGGCCTGATCGCACCGCCTGGCTCGCCGGAGCGGGGAAGGGACGGCGGGGGCGGCCGGCTTCGGGTGAGCTGTGCTGCTGGGCCCGCGGGGCCGGGTGGCGCTCGAGCCGCGGCGGGAGCGGCCGGCCCAGACAGGGTTAACAGGAGCGCCCGGCCGGTCCTACGCTGGGCCGCGCCGTCGACTGCCTCGGCCTTGGGGACTCGAGTCCCTGAGGGGACGAAGCCAGCCGCTCAGGATGCTGGGCACTTCTGTTCTCGGGACTTAGCCGCCGGGATCTGCGGGTGCAGGGCCTCGGGGAAGAAGTTGGGAATTTTGCCAGGTCATTTCTGCCTGGGCACAGTTAATCAGTGTGTATTTAGTGTGTTTCGTTGAAACTCTCCTACCGTGTTGAACCAGCGTGCCTAGCCTCAAGAGTGCATCGTGAAAACTGAAACCAAAGGAACGATATAGGCCTGCTTTGTGTGTGTTTTCCCACTTGAAGCCTGTTTTCAGTACACAGACTGTTGTTTTAAAGCTGATTGGACTGTGGCGAACAGACATCTGTTCAAAGGAGGGGCAGAGACCACAGTACTTCTGAAGGGGGCTTCGTAATATGGAAATATTTTAAGTGCTGTCTCTGGACAGTGATTTGCTGTCTCAATTCAGGCAAGTTACTTTCTGAAGTAGTTTTTATTTGGAAAATGGTTTGATGTAGTGAGTAAATGATCCTTGTACAGTAGTTTGCCATCCCAGAATTAAAGAAGCACCATAGTTTATTATGCAGAAGTTCGTGGTCAAAAGTTCTTTTTGCAGATATTTATCTCACACATAGACCCAGCCAGCTTACTTTAAATTTCTTCTCATTGACTTGTAACCATCGACCTTGACACTTCCACTTTCAGGCTCAGATTTTGAATTTAAGGAAACTAAAGACGGCTTTATCTTTTTTCTTTTCTCTCTTTTGAAGTATTTATTTTTCCAAAAATAACAAAAGAAAAATCCATTGCATGTTCACATCAGTGACCTTTTAGGCAAGAGTGACATTGTTTTGCATTTCTGCAAGTCTTTAATGTCAGGTTTAACAGAAGATAGCTAGATTCTTAAACCTACTTCTGCATTCAGTCTGATGTGGTGTCACACCATGTAACCACTGGAAAACACTGTATGCTCATGCCTTTTTTAAAAAACTAAAAAATGTGTCGTTTCTATCTTCTCACAAGTCAAATCAGGATGTTATTATACAAGACACACTTAAAAAATATGGATGAGAAGGTTGATTCCTGTGCTTTTTTCTTGGACTCCAACTTGTTTTCAGTTTGAGATTTAGAACATTTGAAAAAAATTTAAGTGATTAAACTTAATTTTTAATTCCACAACTTATTTTTAATGATGTACACAAGTAAACCATGAATTCCGTGTTAGATTTGCTTGTGAAAACTTGTATGTAAATGTAATTTTTGAAGATAGGACACTTTCAAAGCAATACAGGAGTGCCAGATTTAAAAGGAATCCTGCACTGAAACCTTTGGTGAAACAGTGCTTTTGTATTGTAGTGTGTATACAAACTTAGAGTTAACTGTCTGTAACTTAGAGTTCGAATTGTCTATCTCTTTGAATCAATCTGGGTTTTCTAGGTTGGGGGGCAATTAAATTGTAGATGTGTGAAAATTTAAGGCCATACTTACTTTGGTTTAATGGTTTTGAAATGAAGCTAAATTCACTTCTAGTTGTTTTGTGAACTTTAGTCTGATTCTGTCAGTCTGTAGTTCTGTTCCATCAACAGGAAGCATCTGGTCATTCTTCATGTAATTGTTAGAAAATGCCAGGTATATTTTTGATGTTTGCTATTCAAATGAAAATAAATAGATTGGATCTTGGTTTGTCCCCCCTACCCTCAACTCTAAGATATATTTATAATGGGCCTCATCGTCCATAGAATGGACTTTTTTTTTTGGCCCTTGAGTACCTCAAGTTAGAAATAGTAACAAGTAAAGCAAACAAGTTGTTAGGGATTCAGAAGTCATTGCAAGAAATTTTGACTCATGAATTAATTTTGAGGGTGCAGTGCCATTTTGCAAGTAGCTTGAGTGTGGATGGGCTCCATCTCGTCTCTGCAATTGCTAAAAAACAAACTGAAACAAAACCTTAGCGTTCAGGGCAACTTAGTTTTCTAATGAATCATTTCTTTGGTTCCATAGCTTTCCAACTAGTAATCATGTTTCTACAGCACTAACGTGTCTACCTTAGGACAACGATAATTAGTATTATACTTAACTTTTTCTGAAGATGTTTGTTCCATCATGCTCTCTAGAAGGTCAGTTTATTAGTATTAGTGCCTATGTGTTACCTCATAATGTTGACAACAGTGCTCTGCACAGAGGAGATGCTTTGGTGCAGTCAACTGTCATTTCAGTCGCTGGTGGGCTAGTGCACTTTTATTTGGGCTGAGTATGTCCATAATGTAAGTGTAGAGGCTTAAGCATGAAGTGATTTCTCCACTGAAGGTAAATCCACATGCAGGGCCATTGATCTAGATTTCTAGAAATAGAAATCTAAAACTCTTAGCCCGAGTTCTCTTACCTTCTAATGGGAATGATTATAAAGGTTGGCAGTTAGGGCCCAAGATGCTAATGCACAAATAGAGAGTGTGGAAAAGACTTGATCATTTTAACTGTACATTTAATAAGAATAACACATAATTTTTTAAAAAGTAAATGTCATTTTGAAGTTGGTAGAACAGCATATAGAAAGAGCAAGGTGTTAACCCCACTTTACTTTTTACTAGTTGTGTTATACCTGGGGTATTATGTCAGATTTTCAGGTAGCATATGATATATCATATTGTAAGTGGGACCTTGCATCAATCAGTTCTCAAACTTTGTATCCGAATCACCTGGAGAGCTAATTAAAAAAAACCATGGAGGCCCAAGCTTAAGTAAGATAGGAACTGGGCCACTCTGTTTTTCTCACATTCCTTAGGTGACAGACAATCAGGTTTAAAAACCACTGAACTATAGAACATAGCCAGAGAATTCTGATCATGGGGGAAATGGAAAGGAGAAAAAGTTGAAAAACTGTGATGTTTGGCCCAAAAAAAAGGAGCTCATCTAAGAAATGATAGTAGTATTTAAATATTTGGAGGTCTGTCACACAGAAAAATTAGGTTTGATTTGACTAGAAAGAAGTAGGATCAAGGGGTAGAAGTTAGAAGGAGGCAGATTTCAGCATTCTTCCAAGAAAAATTTCCTCAAAACAGTAAAAATATAATGTGTTGTTTTGGGTGGCAGGCTGTCCCCTCCCACTGACTGTTAAAGTTAGGGATTCAAGGGTAGAGGAAATGATGTGCTGAATGAGGATTTGGGCCAGGTTTCGTTAAGTTCCCTACAAACTGAGATTTTATGAAAAACGTCTAGGTTTGCAGGTACAAAAGTGGAAGAGCAAAAGCTAATTGAAACAAGCTGGTTAGCTTAACTGGATCATAGTTTTCATTTTCTTGGATAAAGAGAAATGAGTATTAAGTGAGAGAGCTATTTGATGAAGGTTTTAAACCCAGCTGTGATTTGGCAGATTCAAAGCCTGAAAAATAGGCATACCTTCTGATGTGGAAATTCCTATTTAAATGAATTTATTTTGGGGTAGTAAAGATATGCCAATAAATTGGTAGCTGTTTACATACCAATTGCAGCATTGTTGATAATAAAAGCTGTATATTGACACATTTGACCCTCCTCCCCACATTAATAATGTAGTAGGTTATATTATCCCCCATTTTTCAGAAGAGAAAACTGAGGCATAGAGAAATTAGGTAGCTTGCCCAAGGTAGCAGAGTTAGAAATGTAGAGCATGGACTTGATTCCAAACAGTTTGACTCCAGAGCCGGTGACTCAATGCTGTGGAATTATAAACAACTTAAATATTTCACAGTGATTGTTAGGGTACGTCCCTACAGTGGGGTACTGCCTAGCCATTAAAATGATGGTTAGAAGAATAAAAACATGAAATTATGTCTTGGTGTATGTTAAGTGAAAA